CGATCTTCTGCTTTAGAAATCGTCATCTGGCGTTTGTGTTGGAGGAGTAAGGTCGACACTTGTTGTCGCATGGCGTTTTTGCACTACTCGCCTGGCTCACACTTCTGGAGCGCCGATTCAAAGGATGCAATAAAGTCTTCTGTTTGAGCATCTCTTGTGCTGAACTTCGCGTCATAGGATAGAACCGCTAGTTGTTGCTGAGTGAAATGATGGGAGGACAAGTTGTGAACCAAGGCACCGTCAGCAGAGGGCTGTTCTGGCGGAATTATTTTCTCAAATTTTCCAGACAACTGGTCATCACGCAACTGGCGATGACGCCGAGCGCTGTCGAGAATTGCAGCTTTGAGGATCCCTATCTCGTGTGCCGTAAAGATCGACTGGCAAGTTGACGAATGATGTTCAATCATCTGGCGGTACTTGTGGATGCGGGCGTGACAGTCTCGTATCAGTACCCTGATCATTTTCTTCTTGAAGTCTGCCATCGTCCGTCGGCAAAGGTCAGTGTTCACAGGCGGTCTATATCTGAGGCATTTCGGTAGGACGTCCTCATCAAGGCACCTGTGCAGGAATTTCAGCTGAGCGTAGGTGGAGGACTCCCGCTTCGCGAAGGTCTCCCATCTGCGTGGTGAGCGGAGGGCTGTGCGCCCATAGCATACATCGATATGCGTAAAGATTCGAGGTCCAGACATTGTATCGCGTTCATCATCTCCCGAAGAAGACGAAGAAGAAGAGAGGGCGAATCCATGGACCATCTTGTATTCGAACTGACGTTTCGGAAACTTCCTCGTTTCCGTCATCAGAGTAGCGTAGTTGTTTCACTTGCGGGTCTTGAGTTATTCAGTCTTGCCGCTTGTCTCGTATTATAGCCGTGCTGGACGCACGAACTTTGACATGCCTGTTTGCCGCAGACTGGCTTAGATCTCCCCGGAGCTGACCGCTGATATGCCTGCGTGACCTTTGTTCCCTTTGGGGTCGGCTTAGTTGTGGTCAAATCAACGTGCCGCTTGGCCCCTCCCACGTCAGCCGGTGGACTGATCGGTCGTTGCTGTTCAGGTGAGCAGCATTCAGCTTCGCGGGTGCATCGGTGAGACAGTGTTCGGCTTTGGTCACATGACCTCTGGCCCTCTGTGCTATGGGCGCACAGCCCTCCGCTCAGCACGCAGATGGGAGACCTTCGCGAAGCGGGAGTCCTCCACCTACGCTCAGCTGAAATTCCTGCACAGGTGCCTTGATGAGGACGTCCTACCGAAATGCCTCAGATATAGACCGCCTGTGAACACTGACCTTTGCCGACGGACGATGGCAGACTTCAAGAAGAAAATGATCAGGGTACTGATACGAGACTCTCACGCCCGCATCCACAAGTACCGCCAGATGATTGAACATCATTCGTCAACTTGCCAGTCGATCTTTACGGCACACGAGATAGGGATCCTCAAAGCTGCAATTCTCGACAGCGCTCGGCGTCATCGCCAGTTGCGTGATGACCAGTTGTCTGGAAAATTTGAGAAAATAAGTCCGCCAAAACAGCCCTCTGCTGACGGTGCCTTGGTTCACAACTTGTCCTCTCATCATTTCACTCAGCAACAACTAGCGGTTCTATCCTATGACGCGAAGTTCAGCACAAGAGATGCTCAAACAGAAGACTTTATTGCATCCTTTGAATCGGCGCTCCAGAAGTGTGAGCCAGGCGAGGAGTGCAAAAACTCCATGCGACAACAAGTGTCGACCTTACTCCTCCAACACAAACGCCAGATGACGATTTCTAAAGCAGAAGATCGAGAACTTCTGAAGATACGAAAAATGAAGGATATCGTCACCCTGCCCGCCGACAAGGGGCGCTCGACTGTCGTCATGGATAAGGCTGAGTACTGTACAAAACTAGGCAACCTCTTGATGGACAAGGAATCTTATGCGCCATCGACCGTCAGCGAGTTTAAGAAGCTCGTAAACAGCATAAACAATACGATCGGCAAGCTGAGGAAGGCGGGAGCTCTTACGAGAAGGGAAGCGTTGGCCGCAAAAGCCAGTGATACCGCGATGGCGCACTTCTACGGCCTACCAAAGGTCCACAAGCAGGGGGTGCCGCTACGCCCCATCGTCTCCTTACGTGGCACTCCAACCTTTGGGCTATCAAAGTGGCTGTACCAGCGACTTTGTTTCCTTACCAAGGATTCGGAGTGGACAGTGAAGTCGGCTGAAGAGTTCTTGACGCGCATCAAACATCTCGAAGTGGAGGCAGATGAGGTGATGGTGTCATTTGACGTGATCTCATTATTCACCTCCATCCCACCCGCGCTGGCTATCGACACTATTGATGGCTTTTTCCGGGAAAAGTATGATGAGACCGACCAACAGCTCAAACGAGCACACATCATCGAGCTCCTAGAACTGTGTCTGAAGACCTTCTTTACATTCAACGGCCAAGTCTACGAGCAAAAGAAGGGGACACCGATGGGCTCGCCTCTGTCTGGACTAATTGCCGAAGCAGTTTTGCAGAGACTCGAGCAGCAGGTCTTCAGCTCGTACCCCCCGAAGTTCTGGGCCAGATACGTGGACGACACGTTCGTTGCAATCAAGAGGAGCGAGGTGAAGGCTTTCAAGACATTGTTGAACTCAATCTTCCCCGACATTCAGTTTACTATGGAAGAGGAAGTAAACAATCAGTTGCCCTTCCTGGACGTACAAGTTACGAGATTGACAGACGGGAAGATAAGAACAACGGTTTACCGTAAGGCAACAAATACTAGGCGCATCCTCCACTTCCGAAGCAACCACCCTGTTGGTCATAAACGCAGTTGTGTCAGAACTCTCTTTCAACGTGTTCAAACACACTGTAGCGACGACAGTGGGAGGAAGGAGGAGATGAATTACTTACAGGGCCTTTTTAAAGCCAACGGCTACCCGAAGTCCTTCATACGCAAATGCCTTAAAAAGTCTCATTTTGAGCGGTCGAGTGGAGAAAAGCCCAAGTTCTGGCTCTCAATACCCTATGTGAAGAACGTATCAGAGGCAACGGCAAGAATCCTAAAACCTTTTGGGATTGGCGTGGCTCATAAACCCGAATGTACCATCAGACAGCAAATCATGAAGCCCAAGGACCCGCTACCAACAACAGAACAGTCGGCGGTGGTCTACAGCATACCATGTCTAAATTGCAATGCAAGGTATGTTGGTGAAACGGGCAAACGCCTCGGCACAAGATTGCACGAACACCAACTTGCAATCAACCGCAAGGACAAGCTGTCTTTGGTCTATGGCCACATACGAGAACTGAACCACAATTTTGCCCTTGAGAAAGCGAGGGTAATTGGTCGAGCCAATGAGAAGATGGCCAGACTGGTGCTCGAAAGTTGGTCCTCGACTGGTACACTCAACCGAGCTATAGATCTCCATCCCGCCTACCAAGCACTCCGTACAAGGCTCGGATCAGTCCGGACAGGACCAGTAAGGCAAGCGAGCACGCGGGACCGAGAGTCAACGCTCACGGAAAAGGGCGGAATTGGGGGCCAGAGGTCATGTGACCAAAGCCGAACACTGTCTCACCGATGCACCCGCGAAGCTGAATGCTGCTCACCTGAACAGCAACGACCGATCAGTCCATCGGCTGACGTGGGAGGGGCCAAGCGGCACGTTGATTTGACCACAACTAAGCCGACCCCAAAGGGAACAAAGGTCACGCAGGCCTATCAGCGGTCAGCTCCGGGGAGGTCTAAGCCAGTCAGCGGCAAACAGGCAGGTCAAAGTTCGTGCGTCCAGCACGGCTATAATACGAGACAAGCGGCAAGACTGAATAACTCAAGACCCGCAAGTGAAACAACTACGCTACTCTGATGATGGAAACGAGGAAGTTTCCGAAACGTCAGTTCGAATACAAGATGGTCCATGGATTCGCCCTCTCTTCTTCTTCGTCTTCTTCGGGAGATGATGAACGCGATATATATATATATATATTAAAAGGAGAAGGCTCGTCGGAAAATCGAGGTATACTCGTGAATATTCAAGTCGGTTACACCAACCCGTCTTCAGACGAAAATGAAAAGTGTGAGGGAGATAATCCTACTGGGGAGTCAGGGGGACATCGACAAGACAGGCGTTTATGTGTGGGGGTGAAGAACGTGTTTGGATAGATGGCGGACGTAAGGGGTGGTGTTGGGGTTTCACACATGGTTCACTCTGTGGGGGAGGTGCTGAATCCATGATATTCTACATGGCCGAACATGGATTAGCATTTGGTGGCTTAGGGGGGGCGCAAGCCGGCGAACCGTGAACGTATGCCTTCGTATTGAGCGTCCAAGTCGACATGGCGGTTGATGCTATTGCTATTAGAGTGCCAAGCTTCTAGAAACTCTCGCGCTTGTTTGGTGTTGGCACTGGCGATCACTTCGGTCCCCTCCCAGTTGAAGCGGTGATCCCACTCAAGGGAGTGCGCAAACACGAGAGACAAGGGGTCCCGTCGGCGGATGGCCAACTTATGTTCGTTAATGCTGGTTCCAAGTCGTCGGCCAGTATGCCCAACATAAACGCTAGAGCAGTTTGAACATGGAATGCGGTAAATGACATTTGTTTGCTGCTCCTTCGGTAAAGGGTCTTTTACCCGGGATAATGTCGTGCGCAATGAAGACGCCGGTTTGTGGGCGATGGAGATGCCGAATCGATTTAATTGTCGAGCGATCGCTTCGGAAATTCTCGGCATGTAGGGCAAGGAATAGAATTTCCCTGATACTCTATCTCCGTTAGAGTCGACGTTTTGTGGTTGTTGTTGACGTCTCAGACAATTTTTCACAAAGCTCGCCGGGTATCCGTTGAGTCGGAAAAAGCGATGCAAGTAGGCCAGTTCATCTTTGAGTAAATCGGCGCTACTGCAGTAACGATAGGCCCTGTGGAAAAGGGTCCGAACACAGCTTATTTTATGGGCTGCTGGGTGGTTACTCTGATGGCTCAGGATGATCTCAGCGTCAGAGCTTTTCCGATGAACGCTTGTTGCGATGCCACCGTCACTGAGCTTTTGTATGCTCACGTCTAGGAACGGGAGGGTGCCTCCTTTTGCATCTTGACGAGTGAATTGTAGTGCTGGGAAGGCGCCATTCAAGCTCTGGTGAAATCGCTCAACTTCACAGGTCTTAGCGATGACAAATGTGTCATCTACGTATCTGAGCCACGTTTTTGGTTGGAAACTTTGAACAGCATCTTGTTCTACTCGTTGTAAGACTAGTTCTGCAAGTAGCCCCGGAATAGGCGAAACCATTGGGGTGCCCTTAACATGCTGGTAGTATTTGCCATCGAACTGGCAATAGTTATTGAGGCAGAGCTTAAGCAATTCTAAAACGTGATGTGATGGAAGGTCGATGGGAAGAAAATCGAAGGGGCAGCCGAAACCGAAGTGCTGGCGCGCAGTTCCGTACGTAGCTGGTTTGTCAGAAGTATTCGCCAGACTGGTGAGCGAATTTGGGATCGGCGTCGCGCACAGACCTGAAGCCACAATCCGCCGTCAACTCATGCAGCCCAAGGATCCGATTCCCATAAATCAGAAATCGGGGGTCATCTACCGCATAGACTGCAATTGC